CGTGTGTGTGTGTGTGCGTGTGTGCGTGTGTGTGTGCGTGTGTGTGTATGTGTGTGTGCGTGTGTGTGTGTGCGTGTGTGTGTGTGCGTGTGTGTGTGTGCGTGTGTGTGTGTATGTGTGTGTGTGCGTGTGTATGTGTGTGCGTGTGTGTGTGCGTGTGTGTGTGTGTGCGTGGGGAGCGGTAGTGTAGCGGTTAGCGCGCTGCGCTATGAACCTGGCGACCCGGGTTCGATTCCCGCTCACGGCTAACACCAGTGACGATTATCTGAACCGGTCCTGGGCCTCCCCTAGGTCGACTCAGCCTTAAATGAGTACCTGGTGCGGTGTGTAAACATCGCCACTAGGGAGACAAAGGCGGTCGGGCGTGGTGCTGGCCACCCACCCCCTCGTGTACCGTTCCGGCCTTCATAGGTGCTCGCTAACAGCACTTGCCCCTACAGTCTGTTCAGGCTATACGGGGGATCTTTGTCTTTGTCTTTGTGTGTGCGTGTGTATGTGTGTGCGTGTGTGTGTGCGTGTGTGTGTGTGTGCGTGTGTGTGTGTGCGTGTGTGTGCGTGCGTGTGTGTGCGTGTGTGTGTGTGCGTGTGTGTGTGTGCGTGTGTGTGTGCGTGTGTGTGTGTGCGTGTGTGTGTGTGCGTGTGTGTGTGTGCGTGTGTGTGCGTGTGTGTGTGTGCGTGTGTGTGCCCAACCACCGCATGCCTAAACAGCTTTTGTTCGGCCGGATCGAGGGGGCTAGACGGGCGCGGCACGGGCTGGAGAAGAGATGGAGTGATGTGGTACAGGAGGACGTGGAGCTGAGTGGACTTGCCGATGACTGGTACCAGCGGTGTCAAGATCGGCCTCAGTGGAGGAGGCTCGTGAAGGACGCTACTGGGCAGTTGGAGGCAGTCGCCCTCCAACAACAACGGAGGGCGGAGGAGCGACGCTCACAACAACGAGCGGAGCGCCGGGTGGCTAAAGCACAGCAAGTTGGCACAGTAGGTGGCACAGGTGGTGCATCAGCCAGTCATCTCGGTCATCTCGGTCAGTCGACCCGTGGCACCTGCTGGGTCTGCCCCGTGACCTCCTGCCAGCGGGCTTTCGACACTTCACGTGGCCTCAAGGTGCACTTGGCCTGGCACAAGCATCGTGGTGACGTCACCGCCACTTAGTGGCGAATGGCGGTTGTTGTTGTGTGTGCGTGTGCGTGTGTGTGCGTGCGTGTGTGTGCGATGTCACTGAAATTAATCGCGAGCGATACGGATTTCTGGCGACGGTATTTACCTCCCAAATGACACTCGTTGATCTGCGTTCAATCAACAACAATTACCACGTCGACACCAACACCGATTCGAGGTAACGACGGCAATTATCATCAACAACGACGGCGCACTGTGAACATCACCAACATCGGGAACTGAATGTTAATAAAGTACGCGGGGGACAGAACGTGGGAACGCGTGGGGCAGCGGAAGATCGCATCACAAAAAACGACCACTCATCGTCACCATCGGTCATGATCGATCCACTGCTGGAGGAATGACGCCCAAAGTCGTCACCGTCCGCCACCGCTCCTGCGATGTCACGCTCGTATAACAGAAACGTGAAGAATACAAATACTCGCATTCGTTATTGACCCTGTGGCGATGTAGGAAAAATGCGACAATCGCTGCATTCTTCGTTACCACTGCCGCGTAACAAAATTATTTGTCTGACGTTTCGGGCATCAGTCCTTTTGCAGAGCTATGGCCAAACACCAGTTTTATATTTGTATATTATGTGGGCCCTGTTACGATGTGTTTGGTATCGTGATTTATGTAGTGTTTGAAAAAATGAATTTCAATTAGCTCGTAACTAAAATATCGGTTCATAATGTGTGTTTGACTATAATCAAACACATTGAGCGATAATCACCTCCGCTGGTTGCATTGAGCCAATTGTAAAAATTCCACATTCCTATGCCAGGTGATATGCTCTCAATAGCAACCGCTGTAATATGTTGACCGGGCTGGTGCGACTTGACACGCGTGTGGATCATCAATCGTGTTCAGAGTTCAGAGCTAAACGGCTAGTTTAATGATTCTCATTCGTAACACGGACACAAACATCATAAACGCATCAACACGCAGAGAAAACACGCGTCGCGTCACGAGCACTTGCGCGGGCTTGTGGCAAAGCGATCGAATGCGTTGGAACCAAATTGCTGACGATTTGTGTGGCGGCGATGCGATGCGCCTTGATGCGCCACCCCTCCCCTCCTCCCCATCCCCCGGAGCCGCTTGGCGGAACCAAACGCGCATCTCACCGTCCCTGGCTCGCACTCGCATCGCCTTGCCCAGGCGGCCGTCAATGTGACTCACGGGCAGAGTGGAGCCCAACGGGAGTGGGCGCGCACATTGGACGCGAGTTCTCTCTCTCTCTCTCTCGTGCGCGCAAAGCGGAACGTGCGTCCACAACATTCCGGCAAACAGCGCGTTGTATGGAACAATTATCGGTGTGCATTCATCAAATGGCCGTGTGTAGCTCACCGTGAGTGAGATTGGGGGGGGGGCGTGGGATAGGGTGGAGGGGGGGCGCCAATAAATTGCCTCCCCCACTAAAGTTCCCCCGGCACCGCGTTCGCCTCTAGCAGATAACGCAGCAGCGAACAGTAGCCGTGTTGATCCGCGCCGCATTTTAATTGCGCTCATTGGGGGGTCTCGCATACAGGAGGCCTCTTTTTTCTTCCGCGCGAGCCTGTTGACTTGCTCGTTTGTCGCCCGAGAAAGCGCGCTCGGGGATAAATATAGGGCGCGATTTGTCTGCCCGCCCCATGCCTGACGCCAGCCCCCTTCATCTAATCCCCGTTTGTCTGCCCGGACACCCCCCCCACCACCACCTCAACCTCCCACCTCCTCCGCTCCCTCCCTCCCTTCTCTTGTGGGCGCGGAGCTCCGAAGCTGTCTGTCTGTCAACGGCACAACTACACTCTCTCTCTCCCTGCTCTACCCCAGCGAAACCCTCCGCCTCCTCCTGCGCCCCCGCCACCCCTCGACTCCCATTAGGTTAGCCTGGGGTCACCCTCTCCGCGGACCCAAAAGGGCCCGGTTCATTTGTCGCGGGAGTCGTGGAAATCCGCGCCACTCGCGGCGCCTAATCGCCGCCTGCCCCTCGCGTTGGCAAAGGCGACACCTCGGGGCCCGATTTCTGCCGTGCGAGGTCGCTTTTGTTACGCACCTCGCTTATCAATCAGCGGCCCCTCGACACGGAACAACAATGGGACCATTAAGGAGTCAATACCTCTGCGAGAGTTCAGCGCGAGTAATTTAAAGCACACAAAGGGCGACTCTGTGTTTCTAACCTACACACCTTGCAGCGCGCGCAGCTACACTCGATTAATAGAACAAAGTGGCATGGCATTGATCTTGTTTCGCCCTCGCATCAATCAATGTAGTGATAGTTTTATGACGGCGAGACAGCTGTGCGGAGCGTATTTTCTAGGAAGGTTATTTTGCACGCAAATCTTGACTTAAAGCTTTCGTGACTGCAGCAATTCATATTCTTTGGGTCTTTCGGTAAAGTTACGTAGATAGGTAAAAAATACTTTTTTCCACCTGATGACGATCGCTTGTGTTGCGATCGAAACGTCGTAGGTTTTTTTAGTTTATTTTCTGAAAACAAAAGTTTGAACCTATCACCGCGACTTTACCGAAAGACGCAAAGAATATGAATATTTTGCACACGTCAGACAAACACGCGCGCACTTTGCAGCGTCACTTTTCCCCGCCAGGACACATTAGGCGCGTACGTTCGGCGCCGAAGTGACGCCCGTCGCAGCATCTTGGGGTGACAGGCGCCCACGCTGAGCCGAGCGGGCGCATCAGCGTCTCTGGGCACGAGTCCGATCTGTTCCTAATGCGCAGAGCGCGCGCCGCCGGCATAAACGCATCAACGCCGGCTGCAGTGCGCGGGTCCTCAAACGCCTGCCGATGGAGCGCGCGAGTCTCAGACAGAAAGGCTGCAGAGAGAGAGAGGGGAAGGCGAAGAAAGGGAGAGGAGAGAGAGGGGGGACTGCCGGAGGGAGGGAGAGAGAGAGGAGGAGGAGGAGGAGGAGAGGGTGTCGCATGAGGGAACGGAAGAAGAATGGGAGCGCGGACACGGGAGTTGAGCAAGATCCTCAGCCGAGGTCGGGCGCAGCATGCTGGGGCATGGTATGTGCTCTATTTGGGAGGCGAGCCGACAGAAGTAGCAGCTGGGTGTCAGGTATCACGGGATCTCTCTAGGGGCGCTCCGTGCGTGGACCGCGGCCAGCGCCTTAAGAGCGAAACATTTTGCGCGCTCTCCGCCTATCTGCACGCTAACTCGATCTGCGCGCACCGCTCCGTTCTGACAAATAGGCGCGGTACAAAACAAACTCCGCCTCCCCTTCTCCGAAGACCCCCCCCCCCCCCACCAGCACCACCCAATCCCCCACCCCCCACCTCAACAACAAAAAAAGTAAGGACAGGAGAGGGCATACAAAAAAGTGCGTAAGAACTTAAATGAGTTGTTGGGAGAAGGCGCGGGAGCGACTGCGCTTGGAGTGAGATAATTCTGCCGTGCGCGCAAAGGCGAGTTGCGCTTGACCTGCTTTGAACAAAACCTCTAGACTTCTGGAATAGGGCAGCAGCAGCAGCAGGAGGAGGAGGAGGGAAGAAGTAAAAAAAATCAACGAGCATTCCTGGACGTGCACTTTTTTTCTTTCTCGTAAACAGCGCGCTTGCGTGGAGTGAGTGAGTGTGTGTGTGTCTGTACGTGTGTGTGTGTACGCGTGTGTGTGCGTGTATCTGTACGTGTGTGTGTATCTGTACGTGTGTGTGTCTGTACGTGTGTGTGTGTACGTGTGTGTGTGAGCGCGCCTCTGCTGTGCGCGCGCGCGCGTGCGTGTGTGCGTGTGTGCGCGCGCGTGCGTGTGTGTGTGCGCGTGTGTGCGTGTGCGTGCGCGTGCGTGTGTGTGTGCGCGTGTGTGCGTTTGCGTGCGCGTGCGTGTGTGTGTGCGTGTGTGTGCGCGTGCGTGCGCGTGCGTGTGTGTGACGGGAAGGAGACCCGCCTGCCCGCGACGCGCAACAGTGGAGCGCAGTGTGCTGGGCGCCGCACGGCGAGTGGCACGCGCATCGGGGGCGCCGCTCAATGGGCTGCGCGCTCGTCTCACGCCACTCAAAGCCACGCCGTCTAGACAAGTTGTCGCTGCGCGGAGCCACACGTTGCCATGGCGTTTTAAATGCATCTGCCGTGAATCTGGCCCGCTTATATTAGCCGGAGCGGGAGATTGCTTGCGAGTGAGTGAGAGAGAGAGAGAAGGCGGCTCCAATAACGAACGCGGGACCGCCGCCGCCTCGTGGGTTTGGTGTGCGGCGCCGCTGCAACCGCACGGAGACATCCCATCCCGTTCTATTAAAAGCAGCGGGCTCCGTACGGGACTGAGCTATTTGTGAACGCGATTCAATTTGGTGGACTCGCGTATGCCGAACAAATGGAGCAGTCGCAGTGTTTGTTTGTGGCCTGCTTCTTTTTATTCTTCATGAGGAATCACCAAGGACTGTGCCAGCATTACTTTCATCTGCGGCCGGTCCCGAGTGAAAACCTCCCTGTTATAGATTTGGTGGAAGACCCGGACCCCGAGCTCGACCCCAAGGCCAAGGACTTGGACGAGAGGGCGCTCCTCAAGAAGCTGGGCAGCAACTTCGACCACAACTTCATGTCCATCGCGACGCCCGAGTCCGAGAGGCAGCCGGGAGGCGAGTCGACAACCACCACCACCGCAGCCGTGACCGCCGCGGACAGGAAGCCAAAGCCCACGGGGCCCATACCCAGCGACATCAAGAGGCTCGACCTCACGGAGACGCTGTACGGCCAGAAGCTGAAGCTGGGCAAGCGGGCGCGCCGCAAGTTCCTGCAGTGGCTGTGGGCGCACACCGCCTGCCCCGTGGTGTACTCCTGGAAGGAGCTCAACGTCCGCTTCTGGCCCCGCTACATCAAGGAAGGGAGCTGCTACAGCGCCCGCTCGTGCTCCGTCCCCGAGGGCATGGTGTGCAAGCCGGTCAAGTTCAGCAACAAGACGTTCCTGCGGTGGCACTGCCAGGGATGGGGCCGGCAAAGGTTCTGCACGTGGATTCCTATACAATATCCCGTCCTCACCGAGTGCAAATGCTCGTGCTGATGGGGGGACATCCGGGGACGCGTGTTTTTTTGTACGGGTGATTTCGCACTTGCCGTCGCTGCGGGTTGAGGCCGAGCGGATATCTCTGCGGTTGCCGAGGAGCCGAGACGTCCCGGAGAGCTCTGGAGGGCTGATGGTGAAGGGGGGGGGGGAGACCGAAGACTACGGAGGCGGCGGCGCCTCTACGGGACCTCACGCGCGCGCGCACTCGCGCGTGCGCGCGCGCGCACCCGCGCGCACCCGCGCGTACTCAGTTGCTATGACATTCGTGTCCGGAGAGGATCCGCGTGGATGTGTGCATCGTTATCTCCCCGTGGCAGAGAGAGAGTGCGCGCGCACAAGGGTGGAGGATGTCATCGATGTTGGGATGGAACTTTAAAAAAAACAAGGTGAAGAAGGAGATTATGATGATGTTGACTACGACGATCGACGACGAAAGGAGAGCAAGAATACGAAGAAAGGCAATGAATTGGAGCAAAAAGACAAAGCTAATGAGTAAAGAGACTGATGTGATGTATTAAAAGACAACATAACTTCTGCTGCTTGGCGGAGTAAGGCATCTGACCTGGATGCGATTCGAGATAATTGCGTGTAGCCTTGTCCACTTGGTGATGTCGTTTCGTTATTTTTTCTAAGTATACAGTATAAACGAAACGAACAATGGACACATATCTCCCACGTGGTATATATATGTACATATATACCGTATTGTTTGCTCGTCACATCATATTTTGTTACCTTGCAAAAAATACCGATGATAATAATATTAAGTAAAAGAAGGAAACTGACGTTAATAAGAGATAATGTAAATGTAATATGTTATATTTATTTATCGATTCATTTGCCTAGATGTTTAATTTTTTTGAAATGTAAAGGTAATGTGAAATATGCAAATATTCTTCCATAAAGTCACCTCCGCTCTACTCACGCAAGTGTCGTGTCTCGTGTGCAACGCGCGTCTCGCAGCATTAACGCGACCATATATAGCCGGCTTAGACCATTAATTGGGAACTAAAATAACACCCCCTTAACCATGAGTGCTCCGCTTGCGAATCACCATGAGGCGAGGCTAAACATCGCTAACTGCTGCGCTCTGTGTGCAATATTAAACGCAAGGTCGGTTGAAATCCACGTCGTTTTGAGCTTTGTTGCGGTCGATTCATCATCACCGACATCATCCGTCGCTTTCCAAAGTTTGAGTGCTGCGTCCCTTAACGCTCAACAAAACACTTCAATTCCTAACTCAAGAGAGACACCTTTAGGCGGCCCGCGAAAGCATTGCACGCGTTCCTCGAGCAGTGTGGAATCCTCGGCATTTTAGACGAGGAGTTGGTTGCCTTCAAGTTATGTGCTCACGCACGCATGCATGGGTGTCGCTCAAGGCAAATCATAGCGATGATCTCTTCTCGCTTCGCTCCCCGGTGCTGAACTTCGCTCACGATGTAACCTGTGCTTGTCTGTCGTTGGTGTTACCGCTGTGGGGGAAATGCGCCTCGCGCACGACGCAGCATCTTCATATTCTGAAAATGCGTAAAACTCTTCGATGGGATCGGCGTGCATCCTTATTGGTTGCGTAACAACAAAAACAGAACATCATAACCAGTGGCGCGCCTGCGTTTTTTTAATATTTCACGGCGCCCCGGTTTTTGTCTGTCAATGGACGCTATTTATTGCTAACTTGCAGGCTTCTTTGTTCGCAAAATTGAGACCGCCGGTCAGGGTATCCAGGACGTTGTAAACGATACGCGTTCTCTTTCTTTTTGTTGCGCTAACCTCCGCGAAATTGACCACAGGGCGCGTTACAAACCACCCTCGTGATTCGCAACGTAAACGCGACGAGCTGTCAAGCATTGCTTCGGATTGCCGCGGCCCTTCCCCCCTCCCCCGTTACGTGAGGGTGCTATTCGTCAATAAGGGGGACAAATTTACTGCGCGCTTGAGCCGTGATGATGTTAGCAGGGCGCAGATTCGCGGCACGGCCCGGAGATGAGGACGCGGCGAGCGAACGGCGCGCCGGGCGGGCTCATTCCGTTCGTAATTTCATATTCCGAGGACAAATGTTTGGCAGAGGTCGTGAACCGACAAATGCAAAGTGGGAGAAAGAAACGTGGATGACAATCCACAGACAGTAACGAGGACACAATTTGGTTAACATCTTGGAAGAGAGTGTGTGTGTGTGTGTTTTTTTGTCTGTCTGGCTCCACGTACCTGAACTATAGCCCCTCATTGATGTTAACAAGTCAGTGAATTTAAATCTGCAGAGCAAAATGTGGCCTTCCGGATCGGTCTATGCGGGCAGCAATGGACAATATGATCCCTATTCACAAGCAGCACAGCCAATGCGCCAAGTATCAAGTAAGACGATAATCGCGCCACTGTGAAAATATCCTGCACGTGGTGTCATGTTTTTTAATGATTATTATAATTATTTATGTATTTAATTAGTCAATTGTTTATGTATTTATTGAACGAAAGTTAACTATGTTTATTGACACGTGGGTATATAACTGGTGCTTCGATGTTGTTCTACGAAAATAGATGGACTATTTAAAATATTTTGTAAAAACAAAATTGGCAATGCATAACAAAAAACAATGGTTTGTTTCACGTTTCTGCCACACAGATGTGTCGTTTTAAATAAAGTGCACGCTCAATTACTGCCGTCACAATTAATCGATGCGTGGTACAGAAAGCCCCGCGCGGCAGCGCTGCAGGGTCAGCGCGTTCGCTGCTCCAACACAATCTTCTAACGCCTCGAGACGCGGCCTCCCCACTCCCCAACGGTGAATACGCGTGACTCCCACCCAGAGTTGTGTACTTCACCCTTCTCTCAGATCCTCATCTCCCCCCCCCCCCCCCCAACATTGACCCCCCTCCCACCCTCTCCAACATCCCAACTCCAACCCTCCACCACGCCTAACCTATGGGCTGCTCACAACTCCTATGCGACTCCATCAGATGCCCGACCACGTTGCGGCGTGGAGGCGCGTGTGTGTGCGCGCGCCTTGGGGGGTGTGCGTGCGTGAGTCCTCGTTCATTACACACGTGGGCGCGCGCGCGTGTCTGTCTCTCGAGGACTTTCCACAGGATGCGCCCGGAGGGCATCGGACGCCGGCCAGTTACCACCATTCTTGTGGATGCTCTCATTCTCTCTCGAACCGCGCGAACACTCCTCACCGCTCTCACCGCTCATCTCTCTGGCCGCTCCCCCAGCGTGGCCGATGGTGATGGTGATGATGATGATTATCAAGTCAGGTTTGGTGACGATGCCGTGATCAACGATGGACTGAGTTGAAACGAAAATGTTGAATGGCCGTGCGTGTTCTCAACCTATCCTCGCCCCTGTGGGTAAACAGCCAAGGGCGTGTCGAGCATGCAGGTGTCACACGACGCGTGTACTTGTCTCCTTCAGACAATCCGTGCAGGCCGGTTGTTGTCCACGGTACGGCAAATGGCATGGAGCCATGTTTAGCCATTCCACTCTTGTCTTGCGTACGGCGATCTGCTCATGAGCTGAATGCCAACAGCGGTTTGCGCATTGTTGTCGGTGTGGTACGCGAGCTTCCGCAATGCTCTGCGCACCTTACACCCCAATGTTGCATTCCGCTATACAATCAACACACTTTGATTCAGAGAGCGTCCGAATGCGATCGAATATCGAGACGCGTTTACAAAACAACCCGGTGTTTGTGGACGTGTCGTTATGTGTCTGCTGCACGTGCCAAATACACACCCAAGACATTCCTTACAGACGAGATGTCCCGTGTCAAGGGAATGCCCAGGTTCATCTGGATAGTTTGAAGACGGGGTGGAGTGAGAGGGGGTTATTTACATTTAAGAAGGGAATGGTGTGTGAAGGTTTAAAGGTGAAGAGGGATTGAGATAAGGCTGGTAGAAGTGCTACGATGATAGAAGAGCCAGTCAGCCACATTCAGTAGGAGAGCGACGGGGGCATTCTTGAAGCTGGACTTAAATGGGAGATTGAACCTGCTAGCAGTGTAGTTCGGGTCTGCCAATAATGGGAGCGTTTAACAAGTCCTGTACGTACTGTGGAGCAGTACTCGATATATGTGTTCGTCACCGCTACAGGAACCCGGCAGTCTGAGTTCGATTCCTGGCTATGGCTAATATCAGTCGTCGTGATTTCAACCGGCCCGTCTTCCCTCCACCAACACACGCTGATAATAGTGGTGAAGTATGGTCAAAACCCCTCCATGGTCTACACAGGTATTGGGAGGCCTTCATCCAGTATATAAAATGTCAAGGGGGTGTGTTTTATAATGTATAACAAGGACATGTACTGTTCCGCACTTAGAGCTGTTTGGCTGATACTGAGGTTTGTAGGACTGTATGACTATCCGTGGGGTGGTTATTTTAAGGAGGTACAAAGTTTGGAACGGTTTGTTCTGCATCTGTCTCACCTGGCGAAGGTGGCCATGATTTAAGTCGCAAGCAAAGCATGAGAATGTAAATACGAAATATAAAACACACAATCGCTGTGGATCGCCATGGTGTGACATTCTCGACCCTCGTTTAATTGCACGGCCTATAAAAAAACGCCACTTTTAACTTGTTTTTGTAAAGAATCGACGCTAAAACTAAATCGCAACTCAACGCGATTGCAAGTGCAACTTCATTTCGAGGACTTGAAAAACACTGCCGGCTGAATGTTGACCTTTAGCTTTCTAGAACAACGCGAACGGTTTGAATTCGAAAGATGGAGCGGTTCACCTGTTGCCCACCTTGTGTGCACAGCATTTAGAGTTACTGCCAACTCACAATGTCACATTTACATGGGCGACTCGGCAAAGAAGGACAAAAAAAACAATCGGATCAAACTTCTCAATTGTGTAAATCGACCTCTGCCTAATCACTCTCAGCGCTTTTGCCAGTCTACTTGCTGCGTGAAGGTCTCCCCGTGTGTGTGGGTCACGTGGAGGGGGCGGGTATCTCACCGTTCACTTCACCGCAGTGCTCGGTGTGGCCTGGTGAAGGGCTGGCGACAGAGATGGGGCCCGTGCAGATGCCACTTCCCACTGATGTTAGCAGTGGCCAGGAATCAAATCTTGAGTCGCCCTGGCTCACAGCACAGCGCCACGAACACCAAGGCACCACTTCTCCAGCCCCTACATCTGCGAAATTGCGAAATTTGTTTCATCTTGTTCATTGGAATTGCATTGAATCTCCTCGCTTAACAGTTTGTACACAGAGACACAAAGATGCTGTAAATAACCCCACTAGACTCACCGTATTTTCATTACGGCCTCACAGCGCACTCGGAATTTTTGTCTTGATGACTTCGTGTGGAATTTAACTGGATTTTCTCTGACGGAATTTATCTTTTGTTCACACACACAGTCGCTTTTACAGCATGTCTCTCAAAGTTCTGGTCTTCTGGTTTGCATTTGTCATTTAACATCATAAACACATTGGAGTGATTGCTCGGTTTTGTATAATGTAGGCTAAAGTATCAGTCATCATCAAGGAATTACAATTCGCAGTTTGAACTCCGCGGTTGAATGTTAAGTGCACTGCTAAAGATAAAGCGTATTGCCAAATAAATGTAAAGCTTGAGTGATCTTTACTCGCGCACAACAGGAATATTCTAGGCCAGTGGTTCTTAACCTTTACTGCAGCCTTGCACCCTTTGGTGTAACATTAATAAACACGGAGGGTTTGACGAAACGAAGTAGTTGTACTTACGTGCGCGTGCTTAATTTGTGTTCCGATTATTTACCTTCCAAAACAAATCTGGCACCCCCAGAAAGGGCATCTCGCACCCCCTGGGGTGCCTGTACCCCAGATTAAGAAGAGCCACTGCTCGAGACAATCAAAGCCTTGGTGGAGGTGGTGGTGGTGGACTGAGTATGGTTTGCATTGTCATTACCACGGCAGATCGTGCAGAGGTTTACAGGGATGAAGCCCACGAGCTCACCTCTTCAAATGTTCATACTACCAAGCGCGCGCGCGTGTGGATAGTTTTATCGGTCGACCTCTGATAAATGACAATCATTCATAATGGATTGTACTTCGATGCACAGCGTGTAGGAATATGCTACGAATGCGTTGATTTATAACTTTGAGGAGGCTACGACGCCTCTTAGTGGTTGGTTTCTGAATAACGCACACCG